TAGGAAAAGGTCGGATATAGACTGGATATAGCCCGGATAAAAAAAATCCGAGGGTTGGTGGGATAGACCTGGATAGGATTTCTAATGCCTATTTTTCCAGAAACCCTACGCTCCACTCGCCGTCATCTTCATCCCCACACCTTGTGCGCTTTCACCAAAAAAATTTCTCAGCTTTTTTTCCTTCACCGACTCCTCCGGACCCGTGAATAACAAAAAAAAAAAATTATCTTATCCGACTTTAAATCCGTAGTCTACCAAACAGTGGATAGGATATGAAGAAATCCCAGAATTTCTTATCCTATCCTATCCAGTCCTATCCTGTTTAGAAATCCGGACAACCAAACGCAGCCTTTGGATTTTGCGAGTGGATCCCGTGCACAGTTTCCTGGGAATTCTTTGCGTGCTTTTTGATTTTGATTTTAATTTTGATTTAATTTTGGCCAGTGGATTTTAAATTTTAATTTAATTTATTTGATTTTTAATATAAATTTATTAACTTTGATGGGGTGGAAAAAGCTGGGGGACGTTATTATAACCGGGCAGAGAATATTTCAGGCTTCCCAAAGCGACAAAAATGCTCTTGGGCTTTGGGTTCTGCTTTTTGGAGCACATCAAGACACGATCCTCATTAAACTATGAACCCCTCAATGATGTGTTTTTTGTTTTTCTTAAATTTCACTTTTTTCCCCATAATATTATATTGCGGGGACGAATATTCATTTGGTCTCATTTTTTTTTAAATAAAATTTTGTGTAATTGGTTCATTTTTCTTTTTCTTGCTATTGTATGTGTGCATGATCAATTTATACCCGGATTTCATCTGTATAACGAAAGAGGCATTTGCACAATTTTCTTTCCGCCGAAGCTTTAGAGTTTCGACGAAATGCGATAGAAAAACACTATCGCGGCTCTGTAGAGGACATAGTCTTGAGGGTCGCATGTGATTACTTGCCGCGACGAAGTGCTAGCGTCGCGCGTGAGGAATACCCGAGAGTGGAATGAAGTAAAGAGGGTGCAAGAGGAGGAGTGGCGATCCTAGGAGACTCGAGTGCGTGGTGGCGGGTAAAGAGTATTGTGGGATAAAGCTTATTTAATGAAAAGAGGTGAGATCACTGTTGGAGAGAGCTCTGCGGATTAATGAAGAGAGGTGAGATCACTGTCGGAAAAACAGAGCTCTGCCGATGCTGTCGTGATGAAAATTCGTTTTGGACAAGTAATAAGGGAGGTGCTATAGGGATGTGACCAGTATGGTAAGTAAAGTAGATCATGTCGTGTGATGATCCTGTGTTTACATTCCACATATAATGAGCAAAGGGTAAGTGGCTTTGCTTCTTATAGACCATGTTAAGTATTTCCCAACCAACCACGTTCGAGCCAATCAAATCAAATATCTGTTAATAATCCCTAAAAGATAGGGATGATCTAAATCCTGCCACGAATTTAGTTCTGTTTTCGCTTAGATTGTGGTTAGACTGCCGGGTCATAATATGCACACGCAATAAACCATGGACTCGAGAACTTATTAATAAGTTCAAAAAATCATATATTATTGACTTGTTTGAATTATGAATATAGTTAATGACATAATTATGCATCTACAATGTTCTAATGTGCTTTACAATTCCTTCATCAGTCATTCTTGTTTTCATCCACGATCTCAAATGTAACATATTGCTCTCGCTAATCAACTATTTTATTCTCGAGAACTAAGTACTGCTAATGGAAAATTGCCTACCAAATACCGCAATAAATTAAATGTAGTCATCCTTTTTGTTTATATCGATGGGGATATTATGAATTTTTCGAGACCTGATTAACCCAAAGTGGGTGTGGTAGCGGAGGATGACTTACTTACGATTTTATTGGATAATCCTAATTCCGTGAATTTATATTTCTTTGCTTCGATGTTGTGAGACAACCGCCCCCAACAATGGCAACCACCACCACAATGGTGGCTGAGGAGGGGGGTGACCACTGCGGCGGCAGTCGTCGTGTTAAATTAGCATTTCATTATATCTAATATTTTTGCCAAATCCGAGATCGATTATTATAATCCAAGGATTTATTATCCTATTTAATTTCATTGTGTTAATTCCATATCTTGTAAACGCAGCCTTAGGAGTAGGATTAAGGTTACTTCAGTTGTAGTATTTAGGATTGCATGACCATTGCATGCTACAAGCCAAACATAGAAATACTTCTGTTTATGGAAACCAATTCTTTTATTTTTATTTTTGCAAGGAACATATAGAATTTAAAAAAAAAAAAGGTTCTTACTCGAAGCTATCCCTTTAGCACCATTCTTTCCCATTTAAAACATATTCACCATCTTTTTCAAAAAATAAATAAAAACCCACAAATTTTATCGCAAAAAGGCATAAGTAAATGCCCGTCTGATTGGAATCGCACCCATTTTTTTTTATAAAATTAATTTGAGATGAACAAGCAGTAATTCACACCATATCATCATGTTGCCTCTTTTTTTATATTATTATTTTAAATATTTTAATTAGTTTTAAAGTTTTGAGGAAGAACATAAGTGCATGCGGGCCTAAGCACGCGGCATATGTCCCGGTGGGTCGCATATTAGAGATTCTTTCCACCCGGAATCCAACAAAAGAATAACAAAAAAAGGAGTACAAAAACTAGGCACGCATCTCCACCCCCCCGCGTATTTTAGAATTCCATTTCAAAATTTTTATTTAAATATTTTCCTCACTTAAAAAAATAATAAATTCTCATTAGCTCCGATCCTCACGCACCCATTATTGGATAATCCGCATATTTTTTTTAAAAAAATACTATTGCAAAAACAAATTTAAGAAAACATACGTCATTCGTTCAATCGTGAAAGAGAGCTTTTCGTAAGAATAATCCTTAAGAAATCCGGTATACGCGAGCTCCGCTGCGAATTATTAAGAAAATGCCATTTTCGTGCTATAGGGACCGAGATATTCCGTCTATTTTTTTTTTTTAAATAATTGTTGGGATTATTAGGAGCAAACAAAATTGGGTGTTACCTTGTTATGCCTTGTTTAGCCGTTACACCTGCTTCCTCTCCATGAGGTTGGGTTTCGTGTTCGGCGCTCAGGTACGAGGTTTTGTGTGTGGTGGCTACTCCGTTTGTAATTTGCGTGTTGAAAAGTCAATATATCTCTTACCTTATAAAAAAAAAAAAAACAAAATTGGGTGTGCTACCACCACCACCACCCCCCACCGCCGCACTCCCACATGCACATAATGGATGGATGCGTAGGATCCGAGCCTACCCTACCATCTCATACGTCTAGCCCTCCACGAGCATTTAAAAAGAAAAAATAAATCACTTTATGGTACTTTCATAATTGAATGTTTGCCTGATTAATGAAATTATTATATATAAATGGAGTGTTTAGTACGTTTTCGTTTTTTAGATGGACTGGGACCAAGCAAAATTTCATCACAATCGAATTCATTGCGTACCTTTTGCAAAAGCAAAAATTGAATTTGTTGGGAATGGTCCCGGGGCGGTAGCTCGTTCCGGTCCTTGGAATTTAGGATCGCGGGGATGATGTTATGGTATCGATCGAGTTTGTCCATCATTTTAATATGGCGAAAGAGCAAATTTACTCGGGCATTTCTCCAGATACTTGAACCGATTGGATTCCTTGATTCGTCGGTAACGCCTCGGCACCGGAATGGTCCGTTGAAATTCTTGATCACCCGACAGAGAATGCAGACTTTTGAGTCGGTGACGCCTCGAGCCTGATTGATCAACGGAGCCACCGTTATCGTAAAACAAGGGTCCGTTTGTTTCCTAAAAATGAGCTGCCGTATCACTTTGAATAATTAGCCAACAAAAATTGCTTTCGCCATTGATAACAATTTATGCCTAAACATTTTCGTAAAGCAATGGGAACGTTTTCCGTTCCTTCATTTTTGTAAACGATACAAATAGTCGTTTTCAGAAAAAAAAAACATTTTCTAAAACTTGGATTTTCCGCGAAACAAACGGACCCCGAAGATTATTATCACCGTCGTACAATAGATAACTCTTTCCACATGGGTAAAGCAGCACAAAAAGCAAATGACATCTCTCCTTTTGACCAGTCATTTGGCACTATAGTATAGTCCGCATGCTAATTTTGCTTCCGCCTCCAGCAGTGACCTCTCACCTAGAAAAGAAAGGCGGGCAAAGCCGAGTTAGATAGAACATGCCATGTCCATTTTTTGTCCAAAAAAACCCCAAAAAAAAAAAAAAGGAATTTTGAGAATCACGCCCGGCGCACTTTAGCACGGTGGGGTCCACGGCACGCCAGGACTTTAGCAGGAATTCTGTCATTTAAATAATGCACAAGCACCCATTTTTTTTTATAATTTTTGTTATATTTTATTTTCTCCTTTTAATTTGAGACAAAAAAAAGGTTGGAAAATTCAGGGCAAGAGACAACAACAAGGCCAAAAGACAACCCAAGCACGTGACACTTCCCCAACCCAAAAAAAAAGGAGAAAAAACTCGAAACTTTACCGTCGCTGCAAAAAGGTGGTGCCTTTCTCTCTCTCTCTCCCTCTCTGCTTTTTCCCTCCCTCCATCTACACATCGGACATCCCATTGGCGCTTGTCCCTTCTCCGCGCCCAGAGCACAATCCCACGCGCAGCGCACATCCTTTCCAGTCCCATCCGTCGCTTGCTGCCGAAAAAAGAGGGAAACTTTGGGGAAAAAACAGCAGTAAATTCCAAGGGAACAGGGCAAATGCGTGGTGACCCGGTTCTTGATCTTTGGCGAAAAAGAGAGGGAGGGTATCGTTAGTGGCTTCCCCCCCAGTCTGTGACTTTGTCGGATTTGGCATTTTGCCCTGGCCCCTCATATTCTCGTGTTCCTCTTTCCCTTTCCCCACCATTCTTGCCGAGAGGTTTGAAGTGGGGGGGTGTTCTCACTCTCACCTTTCTTTTGCTCTGCCTTTTGTATGGTTTAAAAAAATAGCGGCGGCGGGGAGAGGTGAGAAAAGAATAACGGTGGTGGCGGCGGCGGCGGTGGAGGTGGTGGCGGGGGAATCAGCGACGGGGAGGTAAAAACCAACGACAAGCAACACCAAAGTGGAGTTTGTGGGGGTCGCCCGAAAACACGTAGATAAACGCGACCATTGGTTTCCCAGATCTCTAGGATCTCAGAATTTTAGGCATTTTTGGTGTTTGCTCTGTTTCTCGAGGAAAACACTCTCATTCACGTCCGCATTCTCGTCTTTCTTAGCCGTTTGTCCTGGCTCAGGCGGTGCTTATCCCTCTAGCTTTGATTCTCAGTGTCTTTTTCTAAGCTAGGCGTTTTGTGAGCCAGTGGTTTTTAGCATCTGGGTCTTTTGAGTTACATGGAGTTATTGTTGAGGGGTCAGTGAAAACGTGAAGTTTATTTGAAAAAAGGAGGCAAAAGAGAAGGGGGGGAAAAGGTACGGGAGAGAATCATTCATTCCTGTCGTGGCATTGGAGGTTCTTGTTCTGGAGCTTTCATTCTTTCTTTCTTTTTGACCGGAATAAGGGAAAGGGATTAGTTTGCAGGGGCTGCAACTGAAAATGGCTTGCCTTTTGGTTTCTCGTGGTGGTTTTGAGAAGTGGGTGCGAGAGGTTTTGAAGAGGAAGTGAAGTATCGGGAAGTGTGAGAAGAAAGTATGGAGTTCGAGAGAAGAGTGATGCTGTGGAGAGTGAGATGTTTTCTTGTTTTGGCATTGTTGGGGAGTTGCTCTGCTTCTCTTTCTCCTGCTGGTGTTAACTATGAAGGTTAGTCTCTCTCTCTCTAGATCTCTGCCCCTTCTCTTCTTGTTCTTTCCATAGTTCAACCAAAAGAAATTGGAAACATTGGCATAGTTTCCTGCATATTGCATCCCGAGTGTTTAGCTTTTTTAAAAAATGTAAGATTTATCTTTCTTGTACTGTTCCCACTTAAATTGTACTTCCATTTTTCTTTTGAATCAATGTATTTGTCCAATTTTTGACCTCTGTCAATATTGAAGATGAATTGCCTCGTATCTATGGGCAGATTTATTCCCTGTTACCCAGCTCTCTCTCTCTCTCTCTCACTCACTTCATTTAGCTATGCGTCTGTTAATCTATGCTTGTTAATTTGTTCTTTTAAGTTCCCGAGGACAATGAACGAAGCTCATACTCATAGCTGTGGATCTTTATACTTATATTTGCCATTTGAATATTTGAGCAGTTATGGCTTTGATGGCAATAAAAAATGCTCTCCATGACCCCTACAATGTTTTGGAGGGTTGGGATGTAACTTCTGTGGATCCTTGTAGCTGGAGGATGGTCACTTGCACAGCCGAGGGCTTCGTTTCATCTTTGTAAGTTTGTCTTAGTCTTGTGCTGTGTCTTGATTTCAAGATATGTTGCATGATGGCACATAACAATAAATGAACGTTGAGTGAAATCATTTATTTTGAAGACGATCTTTTTTCCAATAGATGATTTCTTCTCATCCTTGAACAGGGGACTTCCGAGTCAGAGCTTATCAGGAACCTTGTCTCCAGAAATTGGGAACTTAACGAACTTGCAATCTGTGTATGTTCTTACCTTCTGTCTTATAATTACTTATGTTACTTGGTCTAAGGGTGGTGGCATACTCTATAAATCTGTTAGTTCTTTTGTTACGATTGAAGCAGTTTCCTCGGGAATGCTATCCTGCGTTCTTGATCATGCAAAACAGCATTTTCTAAATGAATGCACGACTTATGATTCCTTGAATGTTTAGGTTGCTGCAGAATAATTTCATCGCGGGTCCTATTCCAGCAACAATAGGAAATCTACAGAAGCTTCAGACACTCGATCTGTCCAGTAACACATTTAGTGGAGAAATACCTGGTTCTCTAGGGGACCTGAGGAACCTGAATTACCTGTAATTTCCAAACTTGTGACTTTTTTTGGAGATTTCTTGTGATTATACCAATGGAGGACTGATCTTATGACTGATGCTTTTCATCTCTTTCATTTGATCAGTCGGTTGAACAACAACAGTCTCACTGGATCCTGCCCAGAGACGTTGTCTAATATCGAGGGCCTCACTCTTGTGTATGTCTCTCTTCATCATTTACGAGGTCAAGTTTATTCATTTTACGGTGAGAATACTCATTATTGAAGTATAATCTGCTTGCAGAGACTTTTCATTTAACAATTTGAGTGGTTCTTTGCCAAAAATATCAGCAAGAACTTTTAAGTAAGTCGACCTTTCCACTGGAGCTTCATTGCTATATGTACCTGTTATGAAGTCATTTACATAGTCATTGTACTTTTTGCTGATCTCAGAATCATTGGCAACCCTCTAATATGTGGACCCAAAGCTGGCAACAACTGTACTTCTGTCTTTCCTGAACCACTCTCTTTTCCACCAGATGTTTTAAAAGGTATGCACATGACTTGATATGTATGGATGCTACGATAAAAATTTGTGATTCCAGAAATCTTAAGGAAATGTGCATCTGCATCTTTCTGATTGTTAGATCAACCAGATTCTGGATCAAAAAGTCATCACATGGCGATTGCTTTTAGTGCAAGCTTTGGTGGTGCCTTCTCTGCAGTCATTGTCATCGCTTTACTAATTTGGTGGCGTTACAGACGGAATCAACAAGTTTTCTTTGATGTTAACGGTCAGTCTTTTGCCCTGTCTTTCTGCCAGTGCTTTCGCTGTTGAACACGCCACTTCTATAGGTCACATGTACAATTGTCGTTGTGTTAGCTTTTTGTGCATCGCCTGCAAGGACTAAAATCTCCTCATCCATGTGATATTTTTCCATACTTGCTTTCTGTGAGAATGAAAATAGAAAGGGGTCTTGTCACATAGCACTTTCAGTATATCTATGGAAAAGTACCAGTCAAAAGGACTTATCTGTGAGAATGGGACTTGATTTGAGGCCTAGCTGGAGAGCACTTTTGTATATCTACGCAAAAGCACCAGCCAAAGAACTTTAATATCTCTAGCAGTGGTTGAATGGCTTGAGAGTCCATAAATCTAGAATCCCTGTCTTCAAAGATTCTTTAGCTAGCTTCCTTAGATTCCATGATATTACCATTGTCCTTTATTTGTTACGAAACAGTCACCAATGGGCTAACCTCATGTGTCAGCTATAGACTATTAACTTTGACATGAATTTATACTGCAATGTTCTTTTTTCAGTTTTTAATGAGTTCTCGACTTTACTATGTGGTGCAGACCAATACGACCCTGAGGTTTGCTTGGGACATTTGAGAAGGTATACATTTAAGGAACTGAGGGCTGCAACGGACCATTTCAACTCGAAGAACATTTTAGGGAGAGGTGGATTCGGGATTGTGTACAAGGGATGCCTCAATGATGGTACTATATTAGCTGTCAAAAGGTTGAAGGACTATAACACTGCAGGAGGTGAAATCCAATTTCAGACAGAAGTGGAAATGATAAGCCTGGCTGTTCATCGGAATCTTCTCAGGCTTTGTGGCTTCTGCTCAACGGAGAACGAAAGACTCCTTGTGTACCCCTACATGCCGAATGGAAGTGTAGCTTCTCGCTTAAGAGGTTAGCCAACTTCAATTCAAGCCATGGAATCATCTCTCATAGTTTCTCGTGTGCTTCTGCTTGATGCAGTTTTGATTTGCTTCTGGAATTTTTACACCAATGTTGGTCCACCTTATTGCATTGTCTAATACGCCACCTAAGTTATTGCTTCACTTGCTAACAACATTATAAAGCCTTATCAGGAAACCTCAATAAATAATCTTGTTAAACACTGAGTGCGTCAGTTTAATAAATTCTTCGCTTGGTTGGACACAATGCTATGATGACTCCTAGACCATCTCGATGTTGGCCAGCCTGCAATCATCTCCTTATGTTCAAGGTTCAGTTGTACCTCCTTTGTACATCTAATGACCCCACAAAGATTCTTTTGGTAATCTGGCATATAACCTCAGGATTGCTGATTTACCGAGTATTCTGACCTTTCTTAAATTTGAATAATTTGCTGTCCTCAAGTTGGCGATGCCCATCCATCAATTTGTTCTACCCATGAAGTTAACGCCATATGCCAAGCCTCTAGCTACACCATATGTCAAGCATTAGGTTTATCAGTGTGCTTCTGATCGTTGGCAGAACCTAGAATACTTTGATAACCTGTGCACTTTCTCTGCAGATCATATTCATGGGAAGCCAGCTTTGGACTGGTCAAGGCGAAAGAGGATTGCCTTAGGTACAGCTAGGGGATTGGTTTATTTACATGAACAGTGCGACCCTAAAATTATTCACCGTGATGTTAAAGCAGCCAATATTTTGCTCGATGAAGACTTTGAGGCTGTTGTTGGAGATTTTGGGTTGGCGAAGCTTTTAGATCACAGGGACTCCCATGTGACAACTGCGGTGCGTGGCACGGTAGGCCATATTGCTCCTGAGTACTTATCAACAGGCCAATCATCTGAAAAAACAGATGTATTTGGGTTTGGTATCTTGCTCCTCGAGCTCATCACAGGTCAAAAAGCTCTAGATTTTGGACGAGTGGCGAACCAGAAAGGAGTCATGCTTGATTGTGTACTTTCTCTCTCTCTCTCTCTCTCTCTCTCTCAATGTTTTCCGATGAATCTGCTTGTTGGTGCTAAAGGACTAGGTTCCTCAAAACATGCATCAAAAGAGAGATTTAACTTGCTTTCCAAAGCCGGGATGTCTGACTCAGCATAAATCTATTTTGACATGAATTCTCATGCGCCCCATGTCCTAAGAGCTGTTGTAGCATTTATTCAAGCAATATTTATATGTCAACTATCGCCAAGTATACCTCTATCTCATGTTGCTTGAGTGTAAGATCTGAGTTCCTCGTGAATTATGACTTCATGTCTACGGTTATTAAAAACGAAAGAGAATCGTATGGTGCTCTTATTAGGTTTAAAAGAAGCAACAACACAAAGGAGTTGTAATCACAGTATGTTTGATTCGGTGTAGTGATTCATCAAAATGCAGATGTTTATTCCATAACTGCCAATGCGATATGAGAATACTAGTCCATGGAAGTGAGATAATGAGATCCAGAATTCATTTCGAATTGCATTTGATGCATAATGGTCTCCCAGTAAATCACCTCATGATTGCAACTGGAAAACCATCGAGTACTTGTATTGGTTTTATCTTTTGCTAAATTGTTTTGTGCTGATTGTTTGCAGGTAAACAAGTTACACAAGGATGGAAAACTAAGCCAACTGGTAGACAAAGATCTAAGGACCAATTTTGACAGGATTGAATTGGAAGAGATAGTCAAGGTTGCTCTTCTATGTACCAAGTTCAATCCATCCGAGCGCCCCAAGATGTCTGAAGTACTCAGGATGTTGGAGGGTGATGGTTTAGCTGAGAAATGGGAGGCTTCTCAGAAGGTAGAGACGCCAAGGTTCAGATCGTGCGAAAACCCAACTCCTAGATACTCGGATTTCATCGAAGAGTCTTCACTTGTGGTAGAAGCAATGGAGCTTTCTGGTCCTAGGTGACGGATAAGTCCCCTCTTCCGCACGCGTTTCCGTACACATCATCTGGGTCGCAGAGGTTCGAATGAATGAAGGTTGTCGTCGCCTTTGTCGATAGAGCTCAGTGAATGTATTTAGTCTGTATAAAAGGTAAAAGGAAAGTCGTGTACAAGCTTGAATGTTCTTCGCAAGGAATCGATTTCAGCTGGTTGAGCTTTTTGTCAAGAAAATTTTGACATACGTAAACGAGAGTTCACTGTAAGTATTATTCCCCTACTGATCTAACCAATTAGTTCTGGTTCGCTAGTGTACTGTTTCTCGACACTGCCTGTTGTCATACCTATATTGGTACTTTCCCTACTGTTTAAGCATTCGAGTCGATTCAGGTTCGCATCGGGATTGTTTCAAGGGTGTTATGGCTTGCTAATGGTCTAACCTTTTTATTACTAACAAGGAAGACAAGATTCCAAAGATTGATTCAGGGTATGTTATTATTTTCTGCCGTTCATGCGCTCGGTCCTTCCTTGGCCTGGTCGGCGGGAAGTGCGAATTTGTACGAGGGTCGATCTAAACTTAGACTCGGGTAATTTGCCTAAGTTTTGGCCTTGCGAACAGGTACTTGCTTCCGACCAAAAAAAAACAAGGGTACGTGCTTCTCTTATGGAATGTATCTGCACATGGATGGCTTTTGAACTCATAAGAGTAGTCCCATATGTTTCTCTTGTTGAGTGCCTGTTGCCAGAGAAGAGTTACTTTAGATGACCACGGAGAACGAGTACTGATGTGTTATTATTCCGCCGTGGATGATTTCTACAGGAACAAAAGGGAAGGATGAAGTTGTGATTTTCCTTTTTGTGGGATTAGATGAGATCGAGCACAATGACATTTACGATTTTTTTGTTTTTTTTGGGGTCGGATACAATGACATTTGCATTGACAACACGGTTTTGGGTGTGTTTGTTTTAGGGAATATTTTCATGATAAAGGAAAATGCTCTCGGGTAATCATTTTCCAGAAATGTTCTCCCCTCTTATGGTTAGAGAATTCGTTTTCCTAACTTTAAGAATGCATATTTTCTTTAATCATAAATGATTTTCCGTTGACCGATCATTTTTAGTTAACCAAACGTGCGAAAGTCCAGAAAATTAATTCGCGGAAAATCCTTTCAGCGAAACAAATGCACCTAACTGATATTCTTATTGGATTCATACAAACTCTATCGGGTAATGTTGATGGAATTCCAAGCTTATCGGGGCACCCGACCCATCGAGTTCCCAACAAATTCTCAAAACTTCTCTTTATATTATTTCCTTATACATAATGTTTTGGAATAGAGTGACCCAACACCAAATATATGATAAACCATATTGCTTACATATCTGCAATGATGAAAATCAAGACTTTACACAATCACTTCACTTCTAAGTTCTTGTGTAAATTCTATCGATCATTTAAAGTGAAGTAAATAAGATGTTGCACAAAAATGTAAATGAGTACAAGTGATTTCTATCTCCGGATATATGAAATCATATGAGTCACATTGTAATCTTCGAAAGAGTAAAAATAATTATGTAAAATGGTTATGGGATTTGGATTTCGGATTACCAACAAAGACATGAAGGGCTTAAATCTACTCTTGAGTATGAGAAAACAATGACATGATGAAGGTGGAGTCTCAAGTAATTCTTTCAATCACTTTTGCTTTGGATTTGATTTCCTTGTTGCAATTTATTAAGTGATCAAAATGGAATTTGTTTGGCCCAGCCTTTGTGCTTCTCACAAATTTTCCACTTTTCTAACTAAATTGAAAAACGAAAAGTATGAGAAGGTATTACGTTATGGTGAGTGTTGGAGTTGGCGAATATTTCGAGAACTCTTATTTCTCATACTGGGCACGCCCACATGAGTTTAAGGAAACCGAAGTATGATCCGACGACATGTGACTCATGCGCACGGAATGCGGGGGTTTGGGGGCAGCGCCCCCGAAACGGGGGTCCCGCTGACAGGACAGCGGGCTGGGGTTCCTGAAACAACATTCCGTGATTGTTGGTGAGCGGGCGGGGCCTCGGGGGCAACGCTCTCGAAACAACAACGGGTTTGCTGACCCGTTTGTTGTGAGATCAAAAGATTTGAATAGGCTTGAACTTTGGGCCCATTTTACAGGGATTTGAATAGGCTTGGGCTTTGGGCCCATTTTAAGTCATATATATATATTGTACTCGTATGAGAGATTATTGTAACGAGGGGTTATAGTTGTAAAACCTAAATATCATAGTGGAATCCCTTTGTAGGACGTTGCCCTATTCTGGAGTGAACCTGGGTAAACTCGTGTGTCAAATTTTTTATTATCTGTGTGATTATTCTGATTCGATCCGGATACAACCCCATCAGTGAGAAGGTTTGCTCTCGAGATCCCTTAACCTCACGAAAAGGGTTAGCGTTGCGCAACAGTAACACCAAAAAAGGGGATAAAGCGGAGAGAGCGTATGCGTAGACGAGGACAATTCCAATGGACCTGCGTGCCAAATGAGAGGTGAAAAGAGTCTAGTTGCTAGGTGCTTGTTGTGGGGAGTTTTTAACTCATTAAACGTGCTTGCTTGAGTTAATGAGAGACTCACAATTATTGATAAGTCGTTCATAGCGAATAAGTAGCTGTGCTTTGTACTTTTGAAAATTGAGATATGGCGTCAAATTGGTTAGATTATGTTTTCAGTGAGGGTTAAAACTCATTATTTTTAGGGCCAAATGGACTAAGTACGAATATCTAGAATATATAATTGAAAATAATCACTTGGATCAATTGCCCCTACTCAAGTAAATGAAACGCCTCAATCGCCACTGGTCCAATTCTACAAACATTCCACTGCTTCAATGCTCCACTAGAATACAAGCCCACGTTACTTGAGACGACTTATTTTAGGCTCTTTTTGGGTAGTTAGAGAAATGGGAGGGGAGGACAGTTGGGTTGAAAAATGAGAGATTTCGAAAATTTTGCTTGTACAAGAGAAAGGGACCTTCAAAATAATCTCCTCAAGTTTTTCTTCCCCGCCCTTTCTCTAGCTTCTTAAACACACGTTAAGCATCGATAACAAATAACACGAGAAAATCGACGCGCTAAAATTATGGAAAAACCGTCCAAAAAAGTTCAAAATTTATTGTATCGCAGCTAATTCATCGCTAAACTTTTCAATTGTGCCAATTTAATCATAAACTTTTTCTGACAATTTGTCAATTATGTCCTAAACCTTTTAATTTTGCCAATTTAGTTATAAACCTTTTGAGTATTTGTCAATTTAGTTCTAAATCTTTTAACGAATTACCAATATAGCAATTCTGATTAATTTTGATCGGAAATAACTGACAGTGAGTGCTGTGGGTGAGCACATGTCCAGGGTAGAATCGGGAATCGAAGAACCGGTTCTAAGGAGGGAGGTTCCAGTTTCCGATTCGGTTTCTAAAAAAATGGAACTTGTTCCTAAGAAAATAGAACCGGGAACTGGGAAATGGAACCGAGAACCGGGAACCGTAAATCTAAAATTCCTAATTTTCTTACTACTCCTCACTTCTCACTTCTCAACTCTCAAATTCTCATCTTTGTCTGCATGCTCATTGCTTTGCTTAACTTGTCATGTAGAATATTTCCTAAAGTTTGTTTAGACCTTTGGTTTATTGTGGTTTTGGAGTATCCACCATTCGCATGCTCATTGCTTTGCTTAACTTGTCATGTTTGAGTATTCATTGTCATGTATCTATGCCAAGTTTTTGTTCTTTAGTGAGGTTCGATTGTTTCCATCATTCATCTTTTCAAGAAACATCTTAAGTTTGATGGTTGTATAGTTAGAACCATGATGATAATGGATGGTGGAAGGAGAAAAGAAAAAATTGTAGTTGCAGTTGCAGTTATAATTGCAAATAATCGATACGTGATACTTCAATTTTAAATTTAAAACTATTATTAAGTTATCAACTATGATTGTTGTTTCTTTTGATTTTAGGTAGTCAGAATTTGAAACAAATTTTCATGGATGTTCTCATATTTCTTTCCTTTTTCCTGCTTCCCATTTTGCTTGTTGTCCTGGATATTGTCTTGATCGACATGCTAGTCCCTTGTGAATTCTCTTGCGTATCGATTCACGCAATGGCTTCTCATTTTAATTGCATATATTTAAATCGTAATGTCACGAAAAGTACTCTTTTGTATTCTCGTTGGTGAATGACAAGCTTGTTCAGAATTACTGCATTCATTTTTATTTTGTCTAAATTAAAATGAAATGAAAAATAAAAAACCTATTAAATTCTAGAACCGATCCCGAAACTTATGACATCGTAGGTTTCATTGCGCCTAATGAGTGCCGAGCATTTGAATACACTCCTTCATTGTGCCTCCTACACTGAAAGTTCAAACGGAAGTGGAATCCCATGGAAAAAGTCGCCGCTATGATTGAGGCTCCAGGAGGGACCGGGGGGGGGCCCACATCCGACGCCGCCCTGCCACGTGTCCGCCGCCCATCGGCTGCTCATGGCGGTTTTGCTCACCCCTGCCCCTGCCGGTGTCGGAACAAAAGAGCAGGGGGCGTGGGGGGTGGGTCCCCGCACGTGCCGCGCGCGCGCGCTCGAGCTTCGCTGCGGTCGCCCTCGGCCACGTGCCGCCTCGTAAGGTCCGGCGGGAAGGAGATTGCAGTTCAGTTGACGCCTTCGCTCGTAACGGTGTGTGACCTTTTTGCCCCGCCGGCTCGTCCAGACCCGCGGAGGGTCAAATGACGCATGCACCCTCGACCTGGACCTTTGACTTTTTTCTAGGAATTCAAGGCATAGTTCGTTCCGTTTGTTCAATTTTTTCTTTTTATTAAAAATAATCGTTTGTATCGCTTAAAATAATTAATCGATAAAATAATCGTTCATATTTATCTTCAATCCCGTAATTACGTATAATATTTGAATGATTTGCTTATATATTAATAATCATCCGGTGGCTCCATATCATGTTCATGCACACGAATGTATCATCCTCTTTCTGTCATAATTAAATAGTATTGCCTTTTTTTTTTCAGCGAAGCTATTAGTTAAATGATCGCAACTTAATACACTAGTTCTAATTAATGAAAAATATTAGAGCCTAACTCAGAAAATCATCATTTTTTGGCTTAGGTAGCAATAACTACGTCGATCTATTTTTCACATACCTTTTAAGATAAACAACGGGATGTGCTCGCCATGCCTCGTACAAATATTACTTATCGATAAGCCGCGCTCATAAATTTTTTTTTTTTGAATAACGCGGCATCATCTTAATCTTCGTTCTCGAATCTCATAAACAAAAGAAACACACCCAAAAGAAAAAAGAAAAAGGATTTTTCTTTTCGTTATAGATAAGTCTTCCGAATCCCAAAAGTAAGTTCAAACTTCAAACCAAAAAGATTTTATTTAATTTTTGGCAAGAATTAAAGATTTTCTCTCCGCTCGAATCTTTTGATAAAAAGCCACAAAACTACACTTCGAAAACCGAAGCCCCCCCCCGCCCCCAAAGCAAAAAGACGGGAAAACCCCGGGTGCGAGAATGGGGCGAGGAGCCCGGGGGCAATTTCGACCAATCACCCCCCTCCGTCGTCGCGGGCATCCTCGTAATTCCGTCGACACCTGGTCTGTTCTCTCTCTCTCTCTGTTTCTCCGTCTCTGTTTCTCTCCGTCTCTGTCTCTCCGGTCGCTCTGCTTAGTGCTTACTCGTTTTTTTTGTTTTTTCTCTTCGACCCTTTTCGAAGGCAGCCCGACGCCACGGCACGAACCCGCGAAGGATTCTCCCTCTGTTTCATCGTCACCCGGCTCGCATTTGACGGCCTTTCTCCTTCGAGTTTGGTCTCGCTCCGCTCCCCTGTCTTGCTTCTAGAGGGTGAATGCTGGAGCCAGAGCGCATGGAGCCCGCGCAGCATGCATTCTCGGAGCAGCTCCTCCACGCCAAGAGGGCGGCGGCGGCGGCGTCCAAGTTCGGCCTCAGCGTCGGGGCCTCGCTCTTCTTTCTCGGTCTCGTGGCGGTCTTTACCCTGAGCGTGACTCCTCTGTGTCTGGAGTTGTCTGGTTCCCCTGTTTCGCTGTGGCCGTTCTCTTCTCCGACCTCCACCGCCGACGCCGCCGCCCCCCTCGTTTCGTCCCCTGCTGCTCATGCTGCGAACTCGACTACCGGTGCCCGTTCTTGCTGTGGGAATGCAACGTCGGGCGTTGGACAGGCTTTGAGTTTCTTGGATGGAGATGGTCGAGGACAGGTTCTGAACACGACCGTTGAGGCGAACGTGACAAGAGAGGCTGAAACAGAGAGGGTATTGGGAAATCCCGCAGGGGACTCGAAAAATAGAAGCTTGACGGTTCGTAGAGGGAGTTTTGGAGTGAAGACCCATGAAGCAGCCAGTAGGCCAGTGGATGATTCTAAGGCGAGGCACGACGCGAATCTGGGCGAGGAAGCCGTGGTGTCTCATGAAAATCATCGCGAGGGTGGTAATTTCTCTCTAGAGAGGGGAGGGAGTGGTAAGTCGAGCTCTCCCGTCGCCACAGAGGAGTCTAACCTTAGGATGGCGCGACACGGTATCGGAGTAGTGGGAATTCGTGGTGGGGATTGTGATATATTTGGTGGTAGATGGGTGAGGGATGATTCGAAGCCGTACTATCCCGCGAATTCTTGCCCTTATGTTGATAGGGACTTCAATTGCCAACTTAATGGTAGGCCAGATGATGGATTTGTAAAATGGAAGTGGCAGCCTAATGGATGTGACATGCCTAGGTACGTGCTAGCTTGGTAGCTTTTGGTGGGATGTGTATTGGGATTGTAGATTGCAATCTGATAAGCACTACTTTGCTTTAGTCTACAGGTAGGATGCCAGAACTTTTGTTTTGCACAATAACGCAACAGAGATTCGTGCTTGTTGTGCAATGAGTTGAAGTTAATCACATGCTTTTGATATATTCTGGATTATCTCGGTCATATGCTTTTGATATATTCTGGATTATCTTGGTCAACTGACTCTGATAAATTTGGTTTTGCTGTGAGGCATCATTTGGGAGATAAGGTTCTTTATGTATATTATAAATGGATGGACAAGTAATCTTTGGTTGTGGGACAATATTTGGAGATAGCCTAGAATGGTCACTTCGTGATCGGTTCAAGCGATTGATATGTATAATCCTTTGCATAGAACGCTTTATATGTTAGTTTCATTAGGACATGTTCGTAATGAATTCCTAATCAATGATTGAAAACATTTTCCTCAGTTTGAACGCAACTGATTTTCTAGAGAGATTAAGAGGAAGGAGGCTGGTTTTTGTGGGGGATTCGCTGAACAGGAACATGTGGGAATCTCTCGTCTGCATCCTCCGCCATAGCGTCAACGATAAGAATAGAGTCTACGAGATATCTGGAAGGAGGGAATTCAAAAAGAAGGGAGTTTATGCCTTCAGATTTGAGGCAAGTCACCAGGAAGATTCTCCATCTATTGTGGCGAATCTTAAATATTATAATTGCGTGATGCGAATCTCATTTTTTTTTATTTCTATGGTTTCAGGGGTACAATTGTTCGGTCGACTTTGTTGGTGCTCCATTTCTTGTTAGAGAATCATCTTTTAGCAATGGGAATCGGTCGTTCGGGACATTGAGGTTAGACTTGATGGACCGCACAACACGAATGTATCGTGACGCTGATATAATAGTCTTCAACACAGGTCACTGGTGGACCCATGAGAAGACAACTAGAGGGTGAGTGCTGTCACTTCGATTTTCCTTCATCAGTTTTTTGGGCTAATTGGTTTGTAACACAAAAAGGTTGAAAAGTAAACCGGTAATTGATATGGCAAGTTCATCTCAACTTGGTATTCCTGATTAATTTTGATGGGGCTCGTGTAAAATGATCTTGAAAGGAAATTGAGAGCTTCAATCATATAACAAGAAAACTTAATTTGAATAGACAAACTAAGCTTTCTTTTTATTCTCTTCTTGGTGGATTGGAATTTTGGACAGGGAACACTATTATCAGGAAGGCAAGTATGTGCACCCAAGACTCAAGGTCCTGGAGGCATATAAGAGAGCTCTTACGACTTGGGCCAAATGGATAGACAGAAACATCCACCGGACCCGAACGCAGGTTTTCTTCAGAGGATATTCAGTCACTCATTTCAGGTAGCTGATTGTTTCCTCATTATTACCTCTAAATATCATGCACCATGCCTATGACAAACATATATATATTTTTTAAGACAAAAGGTGCTCAATTGTGTGAGCTACCTTGGCATGAACTTGGCCACTACCTGTGCATCCTCACACCTAAAATTTCAGAAGTAGAAAGTTACAGAAACGAAAAATATAGGATAGTAAAAGCGAGGATTGAAGGCTGTAGATAGAGTGGCTTCCATGCCTGTCAAAACTTTTGGGGACTGACATGGAGGACTTCAAAAGAAAATTTTGCTTTTGTTCGTTAGAAGTCTTTTCCACTACTAAAGTAATTCACTGCCCTCCCTCAGAGATGTGTCATGCAAAACAATGCAAAGCCGAGAGATCTTGATCCTCTTAGAGCTCTAATTTGTTCAAATTTTTGTTTAGGCCCCGTTTGGTTCAGTTTTGGGAAGGGGCTTTCGGCCTCGAAAGCCCCTTCCCAAAATGCTGAATCGTTTGGTTCAGCATTTTGGCCTAGCATTGGCCAAATGCTAGCATTTGGAATGCCGAAAGCCTAAAGTTGGTCCGGACCAAACCAGCTTTGGGTTTTTGGTATTCCACAAATGCTGAAGCCAAATTTTTTGTCCCCAAACTACCCTCACTTATTTTGTCTTATTCCGGTTTTGCCTCTCTTGTTACTGTTCATCTTCTTTGTGAGGCGGCCGGCGAGGGAGGCCGGTGAGGGCGGCCGGCACCGGATCGGGCCGGCGAGAGGTCGGTGAGGTTGCACGACCCAAGCGACGGCCGCCTGAGGTCGTGCGACCGCCCAAGCGATGGCCGCCTGAGGTCGTGCGACCGCCCAGGCTGGTGGCGCCTGGGTTGCGCGACCGCCCAGGCCGGCGGCGCCTGGGTCGCGCGACCCTCGTTGAGGGTCGCCTGGCCTCGGGCGACGGCCGGCGGCGGCATATCTGGCTCGCCGGGGTTGCCTGACCTTGGGCAATGGCCGCCGGCACCAGATCTAGCTCGCCGGCGGCTGTTGGCCTTTGCCGGAAGGCCAGCTCCGGCGAAGGGTAAAGTATGTTTTTTTTTTTAGATAAAAAAGATAATTCCCAAAGCCCATTTGCAAAAAAAAATTTACCAAACACTACTTAGCCCAAAGTAGCTTTACAAATGATTTTTTACCAAACGCTACATGCATTTTCCCAAGGGGCTTTAACCTAAAGGTATTTGCATTCCCTCAAGTAGCATTTCAAAAGCCGAACCAAACGGGCCTAGTCTATGAGAGAAGATTTTGCTTTCGCTTGTTAAAATGATCTTGACATCTGTTCCAGTAGCAAGTAATTCACTGCCCTCCCTCAGAGATGTGTCATGCAAAACAATGCAAAGCTGAGACATATTGATCCTCTTAGAGCTCTAATTTGTTCAACTTTTTGTTTAGTCTATGAGAGAAGATAATCTCCATCAGCTACCTATATCTTCCAAACAACTTAGGTAAGGTGTAGGTGAACAGATGAAGCACCGGTGAGAAGTTTTGTTATTCCCAGATATATATTTATTTACACGAAAATGTCACTCATGGTCAATTATGTTGATTTAACATGAGGATTCTTAGATTTTTGGCCTGCCTGACATTCCATAGGAAACCTATTGAATTTCATGTGCTCGCAGGGGCGGGCAGTGGAACTCAGGAGGGCAGTGTCATAAGGAAACGGAGCCTATTTTCAACGATACATACTTGGAAAATTACCCTTCGAAAATGAGGGTGCTAGAGCACGTGCTTCAAGAAATGAAAACTCCGGTAACATATTTAAACATTAGTAGACTTACTGACTACAGAAAAGACGGGCACCCTTCTGTTTACAGAATGGCTTACAGGGCCACACAAGAACGAATCGCCGCTGAGCAATCCCAAGATTGCAGCCATTGGTGCTTACCTGGTGTTCCTGATACCTGGAACGAGTTGCTATACGCATCTCTGTTGAAAATGGGGTGGGGATCTCCGACATAGTGAAACGGAGTGGCTTGAACAGCAGCTTTTTCTTGATAATTTGTTGCTCTATACTGTCTTTTTTTCCATTTAGGATCTTAGCTTTAGATTGATTTAGATAGGAGTTCCAGTATGTTCAGGGAACTTCAACTCTACCCTGATCGTAGGTTGTCCCTATTTAGAATTTTTTTTTTCACTTAGTTGAAATGTATATATAACACGTTCCAAGATGCCCGACAAGAAATACAAAGCACGTAGTGCAGGTATTTCATCATATGTGCATACCTTATGCCTGGAGCTTGGCTGTTTATCAAGAATATCTGTGAGTAGTGATTTTTCCTCCATCAGATCTCCAAAGAGGCTGAGCATATATATCGTAGCAAATCGGTTTGTTTGGTATTTGATTGATCAAGGAAAAACAACCTTACCTATTGATGGCTAAACTTTGGAAATCTTAAAGCCATAATGCCTTTCCTTTAGTATATGCAAATTAAATCTATCGCGAATCCCACACAGGCCTAAACAACGTATGCTCACAAAATGATTTTCTTTGTCCTTCAAACGAACTCTAGACGGACTAAGAAATGAAACTCTACTCGCTCAATAGAGACATGAACGGCGAGTTAATTGTTCAAATGATGAGTTTTTGTGCATTTCAACTGATAATTGATGCTCTTCTGGTTTTATTAGTCCATAAATCTTGAAGGATATATCATTGACATAAGTAAATTGCTGAATCTAATAGGAAGTTATAGGTGGGGGCATAGTTTTGGTTTTGGTTTAGATTTTAGAATGTAGAATTTTTATCATAAGTATGCGCGGCAATGAGAACAGAGTTGGAGAAGGCTGCTCTAAATGTAGCCACCCTGCAGCTGCTTCTACTTAGCTCCTCACATTCATTGATCTGTTACACATGTTTGTGCGCACTCACGCATGTGTCTGTGTGGAGAGAGAGAGAGGTGCAAGAGCAGGAACTGTCATAAAACCAGCATACTAACTCCAGGTCGAAGTTTCTTAAGAGAAGACATACAATAAGATTTCCAATTCAAAGAAGTACATGTAAACATGCGACATGTAAACGACACAAAGATAAAAGAAAGACCTGAAAATTAAAAGCCTTGAAAGACTCGAGACTGAGTCCGTTGCCGTTCTGTGACTTGCCGGTTTGCCAGGGCAATACCCAAAGCCTCCATCTCTGTAGATTTGATCCCTCCTCCGATGCGGCCTGATGGTGCTGGTGCTATTGGTTATAGTCCTGGCAAACTGATTGATGTTCATGGGGAGTGAGAGGAATCCCTCTCCATCCCCATATAGCCAATTGCTTCTTTTCAAGATCCATGGAGAGAGACATGCCAAGAGCCTTCCATATCAGATATCAGAGAAACTGATAGGTGGATTTATGGTGATGATGCCCACCAATGGGTTCTCACAAGAGCCAAGTGGAGGTGTTAGTATCAGATATTGAGCCCTTAAATAGGCAAAGATATTGTTTTTGAGAAGAGGTGGACTGGTGGAGTCAAGTAGAACTGTATAAAATTAAATTCCATCGTGTTTTGGTTCATTATCCAGAACAAAAGCTCTCTTTCACTTTAAAATTTCACCATTGAAAGTTGCCTTGCCATGGTTGGAAAGTTTGAAATAATTTGTGCGTCTCCTCTTGCCATGTGATTATACCATCTTACCCTTGATTTTTTTTTTTGGTCGAATTACCCTTGACTCATTCTCTTGCTTTCGCCATTAAATTTCTGCTATCTTAAGGTCTCAAACTTGCTTTCTCTTTCCTGCTTCCTAGGTACAGCCATAGGCTCTGCAGTCTGCACGGACTGTAAAATATTCAAACGAGTGACCAAGGCACCGAAGCTGTTGAAACCGAGCAAACCATATCGGCATAGAAAAGATTTGTACTATTTCACTCAACATAAGAGTGTGAGATTTGCTGTTAGAATGAGGACATTGGTGTCAAATTGGAAGAGGGTTGATACCCCCTTAGACTCACTTTTTTCCTTTCTCGTTGTGTAATGCTTTTGATTATTGGAGCCTTCTAGCTTTTGGAATTGCACCAGTGGATCCACTAACTCGTGCTCATCTTATGCCTTTTCTCCCACTCCATTAAGCCTCCATAATCGCACTAATCCGATCCCAAAGCCATCTTTTTCTTTCCGGCTTTCTCAACTAAGACCTGCAACGCAATTAAAAAAACCTTAGTGGTGTCGACTTTAACTTCGTCTTTTAGCCAAATTTGAGCCGATCGAGCCGGTCTCGCCTTACCAAAACGAACAATCACATTCTCTCTCACTTTGCAATCTCTAGTGGGGCTTCTCTTTAGGGAGATTTCCACAGTATTCTCCATAATCTGCCCTGGGGCGGAAAAGAGAACGTGTCGCCCCTTCAATGGCTGATCTAATATCTTAAGTGGGAAGAAAGTTGCAAGTTCATAGTTTGGACTTTACAGTCGTGTCCTCTCTCTAATCTCTCTCACTGCCTCCCATCAAGTCTAATGGGGTCTTTCTTTCCATGAAAAGCAGTGATCTCCTTCTCAGAAATGCACCCAAAATGATAACAGTTAGACTATCCACTCACTCTTACTTTCTCACCTCCTTTTGTTTAATGCAAACAAACAAAACAGCCTCCACTTTCTGCTGTTCCTCCTCTCCAAAGAGAATCTGTCTCAGCCCATTTCTTTTAAATTGTTCTGTTTTGCTGTTATTGCAGTTGATGCTTACATGAGAGGAATATATCCCATTGTGGTAATTGGGGGTTCACAGGTGTTGTTTGGATGCTTAATCATTGATTATGAATAAGTGAAGAACAAACCACTTTTAGGAAGTTGGGGCAAAAGGTGTTGGGGGATGATGGGTGGCTCTGAGAGAGAAAATTCAAGACTCTATGATCATGAATAACTCAACTCTCCTCCATATGGTAGTACTTTTTATGCTCACTCATTAGTGTTTTTGACTTTGATTGTTTGGAGAATGTTTGGTTGCTTTGATCCTCTTCACTCACAAGTTGTCTCGGGACAAGTTTGTGTTCTAGTAGTCATCATTGTGGTCATTATGGTCATGATGCTTTCCACTGGTCACAGGAAATGAGGAGAAAATTTGACAGGTGAAAAAACAAACAACCAGAGAAATTTTGCCTTGGATCTGATCTTTCATGGGGCTCCAAAAGCACTCTTGGAACATATTTACCTTATCCTGCAAAAGATAATTTCGTTCTCCTTGTTCTTTGAAAAGACGAAGAGGCTGGGCTCGTGTTGCTTTTTCCAAGGGTAGGTCATCTGTGGGCCAAATAGCCACATTCGAGATGAAAGATGCTCTAGAGAAACAGTGTATAAAATCAACCTCTGGTAAATCTTCCTCAGCCAAAATGAATAAGGGGGCGAAAAAGCAAAGAGAAAAGACTGCTAAATTCCATTGTGGAGTAAGATAATCTGGTTCCTACTCTTTTCTTCTCCGTGTAGTTTAGGAACAGCAAGGTACACACGAGATAGGATAAAGACAGCTAAAATAATAATCCGGTTTGCGCATGAAAAAGAATGTTAGATGGTGCTTCCTATTGGAGTTCATGATCCAAAGAATTCTACTTTTTTTGTCAAAAATTATCTTGGGCAATTATTTTGTGCATGTGTCATGGGAAATGTAATTATACATGCAATGAAACAATTTAAAGCATATGTATTTTTTATTTTAATTGACTACTCATTTTATTGGTGAATCTATATTTCTATTCTAAAGCTGTTTGTGTGGGCAAAAGAAAAGAAATGCATTTACACAAGGTTTTATGTATAAGCACTTTTTATATCTTCTGGATCATCGCCTCCACCTAATTTTGCCACCTTCAGAAAGTTCCCTTTCAAACTGTAACTTTCCTTGCTAATGACGCATTAATTACCCATAATTTGGCCTGTCTCCTACCTGTAAACAACCCAAGAGCTTGGAGGAACTCATCTGACTACTGTTGTAACCGCTGACCCTCGATGAATAATTGGTAATTAAGCATCATGGTCTATGCCCTCTTGAATCTTGATGATTACAAGTGAAAACAGTTGATGATGTCCCATGTCCCGCATGTCTTTCATCGTCTCCAGAGCCCTTTTGGAGTTGGAATCGTGCATCATTGTGCACTGTGATTGTGAAAACCGACAATAGTGATTTTTGCTGCTGTTTCATCCTTTTTCAGCGCAATGAGAGTGGAGCCATGTTGCATCAGAATGATGCCCTATCTTGACAGCCAATCAGCCATTGCCAAGAGGGAGACATGACCTAAAAATGGAATCTGAACTTTAGTCCTGTACTTTTTTTTTTGGTCGAGCTTTAGTCCTGTACTTGATGTGGAACAAAGGTGACTTGTTCTGTGCCAACACTTGGCCTTCTCTCCATTGCACTGGCCGTGGAATGAAGTGTGGACTCAGGTTTGCCTTCACATAAATTGAGCCCAAACCCAGCAAAGAGTTGTTCCTATGACATTGGTTTTTTCTCCCTTTGGGCTCAGTAGGACTTGGGATTTGGAGTTGGCAATTCCTAGGCTTTTGATTGTGGATCTATAGCTAGCAACTTCCCCAAAAAATTTGAGAAAAACCTGGTTCAAGGGAAAATGACGCAAATGGGCTACTGATCGTTGGCCCAACGTGCAATGTCGTTTAATTTGTTTAGTGTGATCCCCGAACTATGGGTAAATATTTAATGTAATTATTCTGTTTGCTCAAACGACAAATCAGATGTTGTTTGAGTCAACAAGTCCATTTTTTTATCCATCTACTTTTCAAAAGAAAAAAGAATTATGGCGATACCATGTTCATTGTTATTTGATGACGTGAATTGTTATATCCCGATTTGAGATAAATACATTATTTAGATAATTCACGTGTAACTTCTTTTTTTGTTTTTCACCGTCCAAACTTAACGAATTGGAAGTCACATCAGTAAATAAGGAAGGACGACACGAATATTTTTATATAGTATATGAATTAAATTGAATATTTATCAATAATTTAGGGTCACATTGAACAAATTAAAAGTTTATGGACGATATTATACATCGGTTCAAATCTCAATGAGCACTTGTGTCGTTTTCCAAAGTTTCTACTAAACCTCACTCGTGCAAATACTCAAACGCGTGATGGTGCAAGCAATAGAACATCGGGGGCGACGAAGACAACCTCGTTATTGACGACGGCGTCGACACCTTCCAACACAGGCCATTTACAGAGAGAGAGAGAGATGGTGCCGGCGGCTATTTCAGCTTCGACCTCGGTCACTTCATGCCCACGCCGACGACATTCACAACGCAAAAGCCGATCTCAATCTCAACCAGTGTCGACAGTGTCGAACCGCGTACCAAAATCTACGCTTTCTTCTGCATCGCTCAGCCCTATCGCCGACCCAGATGGTCGAACGTGGGCATCTCTCTCTATATCTCTCGGACATTTCCTCAAACACCTTCCAGGCGCTGCCTTCGATTAGCAAAAAATTTTTTTTATTTTTATTTTGGTGCAGGTGTGAATGCTTTGATCTGCATAACGAGCTGGTCCCGTATGGGAAGGCGTGGGCATGGCAAAAAGAACTGGTGAGGCAAAAGAAAGCATTGATCGAAAGCGATGGAGATTGCCCAGACACGTTGATCGTGCTCCAGCATCAACCTGTGTACACTATGGGCGCTGGTAGTTCGGAGGAGTATCTCAATTTCGACATGGAGAATGCTCCTTTCGATGTTCATCGGACCGAACGCGGCGGGGAGGTGACTTATCACGGTCCTGGCCAGGTATGTCCTTTTGTTTCTAGCCGTTTTGTAGTACAAATTACTAATTTTTGTGCAGAATGTGATGGAATGATTTTCTTAAAATAAGATGTTGTGGCCAGTTTGAAACCAGTAGCTAACTTAATAACCATGTAGCTGCTACAGTTGGGATCTTAGAAAATATCATCTTGAATTAAAGATACTATGTGACCAAACAAAAAATTAAAGATACTGATTTTACATGCCAAAGATTATGTTGGTATTACCAGAAAGACCAATTGGTTTGAGGACTCTGTAGATCATGGTTGATCGACATATCTGAAAGTAGCGAGAGTGGAATATTGTGGACACCACCAAAGTTACTTTTGGAGGTGTCGTTTTGGAGTTTCATGGATGGTGAACAAAATACAGGATCGGGGAGACAATTCTCTGTGAGACGTGAATGGAGATGCGACAATTTGATGCCCTTGAGTAATAGAAATCTCAAGCCTCCTGCCTTCTCAAACAGCAATTAGAGAGCATGTTATGAGACTCTGTGACTTGGACTGTTCATTTCACCCCAAAGCAAACTTTTAGATACGCAGACTTGAAAAATATTCCCGTGTCGCTCCGAATTAAGAAACTCTACATCTAGGCAAGGTTCAAGCCAACTTATCTATTTCGGTAAACGTCACCCATGTCCATGTAAATAGGTTTTAGGTGAACGATAAGCTGAGAAAAAATTGACTGAGGTCCAATCTTAAACAAAGAAACTAAACTACAGTTGGAGTGATGGTATTTCTCATTTCTCAAAGTGATAATGTTGATATACATAAAGTAGGAAATAAACATTCTCATCATCAGCCCGTCTGTATGGTTATATCCTGGAATCTGGTTAGTTATCTACATATTCTAACATCGAACCATGAACAAACAGCATAGACTCTTGTTAGAATTAAGTGCAGGTAAATTTTTGCATCTCCTTTGGAAATGGTCAAGAAGGCAGGGATTTATCTAGAGAAACCGAATCATTCTTTGGCATTGTGACAGTCTCTGAGTGCTTAGTAATTGAATAATGACATTAGTTTCGCAAACCATATTCTTGAGGGCAAGGCATTTCATGTTTGTTATCTCAAAATTTCCCACCAAAGGAAAATAATGAAAGTTGAGGAACTATGCCATTCACGAAGGATTTTTATGTGAATGTTCGCTCTTCCTGATATTGTTTCCGGGGTTAATCAGAAGCTTCTAGAGAAGTCTTTGTGATAGAATAATCATTGAGAAGACCTTTGAAAGGCATGACAGTTTTCCATAGGGACTAGCTTTCTTCAATTCAGTTTTGATGCCAAGTCGTTGAGGTTCTCTGTTTTTCCAGTGTAAAAGGACACCGTGACATGTTACATCCCCCTTGCATTGTTTTCGAAACAAAGCTCCATTTTTCAGAAGTTTCGTCTTTTTCTTATTCCTTTTTGCGGTGTTTAACTTAGCTGCTGAGAAACTGAATGAAGTTGAACTAGGTTTCAATAGTTAATACATTGCAGTTGTACTATTAGGCAGGAAGGATTTATTGCAGTATATGAAACTGTACACAGAAGATTACTTGCGGTTGAGTATCATGCAATTTTGCATGGGAATTAAGTGATGCAGTTTTCCTTTTTGTTTTTCTTGGTTTTCTATTTGTCTTGTAATACTAATTCATTCAGTGGTCCTTGATGTAAAAATAGGGATTATTGCCATTCGTAATTTTCCATATATGCAACATATGCCTAACTCCTGGCGTGCTCATGTTGCATTCTAGCTAGTTATGTATCCCATCATCAATCTACGGAATCACAAGATGGATCTGCATTGGTATCTCAGGTCGCTTGAGGAAGTGGTTCTTCGTGCTCTTCTCTCAGCCTTTTCTATCAAGGCTTCCCGTCTCGAAGGTTTTACTGGTGTCTGGGTTGGTATGCTATACAAATTGTTCTTGTATGGATATTTTGTTTGAATTATATTTTGTTGATCATTCATCGACATTCCTTTTCTTCCAAATTATTTTCTGTGTGTTCCCGTTATTCCTTGTCGACCCAAACATTCTAGCTAGATATAATAGGATATCCTGTGTTGACCTACCCATTTGTTATTATACTCAAAGGCTAGGGTGGATAAGGGTCTTCCGATAGATAGATCTAGATGACCTTACCATAGGCATCCTGAGATTGAAATACTTGGTTGTGCAGAATGAGGGCCTCTTTATGTGCCTGACGATTAGTGAGGTGACAAAAGAAGGCTTTCATTATGGCCAGGTGGTATTAACATATTATCTCCAAAAACGAGTCCTTGGTTCAAAGCGCCACTGGCGCTGCTGCTATTTCCTTTTTAATTCTTCTCTAACACAACTGAATTAAAGCAATTCTTGACCCAGTTGAACCTCTTTGTTTGACTGGTTCAACCATCAGTTATCCGTGTTCTGACCATGGAGATTTTAGGGGTCTTCCACTAAACTGGGCTGGACCTCAGATTGTCCCACTGGTTGGTCCGGTGACTCTGATCCATGGTTCAAAACATGATGGTTACAGTGTTACCATAAAAGAAAAGATTATCTATCCGTCCACTGATAATTGCACAGCTAGTTATGGATCAATGTGCATTTGTGTGATTCTAAAGGTTCTGGAAGTGATTTCCTGAGAAACATGTTGGTTAGTATTTGCCTGACACTCTTCTTTGTTCACAACAATTTCTGGCGTGCTATTGATATAACATTATTTGCTGTATTAACCTTCAGGAGATGAGAAATTGGCAGCCATTGGAATTCGAGTATCCCAATGGATAGCATATCATGGGTTAGCTCTGAATGTTACTGCAGATCTGACTCCCTTTCAATGGATAATTCCATGTGGGCTACGAAATCGCCGAGTTGGAAGCATAAAGGGACTTCTCAGAGAAGCTTCTTCGTCTGTAAATTGCGGAGCTGGCAATGTATTTATTCCTGGCGAATGCGATTTAGTTGATATTGCTTACGACGCTCTGATTGAAGCATTTGCGGAAGTTTTTCAGCTTGAAGTTTGCCGGAAACCACTTAAGGAGGCATTTTTAAGGGGGAAATCACTCTGACTTGTATACTCAACATCCTTTGAGTTTTCAAGATTTGTGTAGGATCTGTTCGTCTGTTGTAGGTATTGTCCTGGTTTTTCTCACAGTTGTGACAATTATATAAGGCCTCGGCAATGGCAGCCACGACAAGTGAGAAAAGCGTTCTCATCGCAACGATAGGGTATTGGTTATCGCGGCTGCTGCGACCATTGTGTAATAGGAGAAATAGGCAAATTACTCTCTGTAACTTTGGTTATGGTAATGACATCCTTAATTGCTAGTCACCTGTTACTTTGGTTCTACTTCTTGTAGGACGCAGAACGTCATGCTTTGTTGGTTGAGCCCGGCTAAGGGACTTCCGTGACATCGCAATTTTGTAGATTGCAAAATGACCCAAACTATCTAAAGTCCTATTAATTTCGCCCTTGAAAACCTGAAATTTATCGATTCCCAAGTTATTCTCGTCTTAAAATATATGACTCGAAAACGAAAAATCACCGGAGGTAATGATAATTATCTACCTAAAAGTTGTAGACTGAGTCTAAATTAATAGAAGTATGTGGCGAGACACTTAACTCTTTGATGGATAAACAGTCATTAAGAGCGGCAGGAATGTCTACTTGATACACAGAAAAGTTAGGTGCTATTCATACAAATAATTCAAATCTTTGAGGCTAATTTGGAGCACAGTTTTGTCGATAGAACATGAACAGGACAACAACTTATAAACTTAACAGTTCTAGAAAGCACATTTAGAACTTTTGTGCACATTACTACCGTGCACATGCGGTCCAACAATCTCTACTTGGGCTTCGTTTGTTTAAGGGAAAACATTTTTTAGAGAAAATATTTCCTCATTTTCTGACATTTGGATCGTTTAGGAAAATGAATCAGTGGAAAATGATTTCCCAGTCAATATTTTCATATTAAAGCTTAAAATTAGGAAAAAGATTTCCTTATTAAAAAATCATAAATCATTTTCTAAAATACGACTAAGTATTGATGCATGGGAATGGGATCCCCAATGCTCATTTTTGGGCCTTCTGCAGCGGGCTCGAGTCCTTGGTGCCCGGGCTTGGGTCCATCAAGGTCGGGCCCGAGATCCTAGCGCCCTAGCTCGTGTCCATTTAGGCCGCGCTTGGGTCCATTGAGGCCGGACCTGAGACACCAGTGCACATGCCCGAGACGCTAGGCTCGATAATATCGAGATTGAGCCTAGGTCCTTGGTACCCATGCCCGGGTCCATCGAGACTGGGCCCTTACCCTAGCGCCCATACCTAGGTCCCCAACTTTCAAGCCCTCCACGATTTCGTCCACCTCTTTCACGTTACCCTAATCCAATGGTACATGACCTTTGAGGAGCTTCAATGGGCCTTTGGATACCTTGGCCTTCTCTACCAAGTCCATCTTCAAGGGTATAGCCATATCCGGTCATCACTCTCTCTACCATGATGCAGCATTTGACACTTCAAGAGTGGGTGACAATGAACCACTGGACGCGTGTATGGTCGATACGAGCTCAAATGATTGGTAGCTCGATTTTATTTTGCAATCTAGCTCAATATAAGGAATGGCCGTTGCATGATACATTTGGTGGTCTTCTTCTCCACGGACCATAACTAGCTTCCCTTTAACGACAAATTTCACCTTTTGATGTAAGCTCGATGGTACAGCACTAGTAGTGTGAATCCATGGACGACCCAACAAGAAATTACATGCAGTAGGGATGTCCATCACTTGGAATACAAAATCGAAAAACGTTGGCCCTATTTGCAAATCTAGGTTAATTTTGCCTACGACCTCCTTTGTCTCATTGAATACAAGAATCGAAGTCTTCACAGCATGGATTTATTCTTCTAAGGTCGGGGTGAGCTCATGCTTACCAAACATGAAGGCGGACGTTTTGGGGCACCAAAAATGCGCCAATGCTCGGATGAGGCCGGAGCGAACTTCTAGCTTCAATAGAGGGAGTAGCCGACCAATGCTCGGATGAGGCCGGAGCGAACTTCTAGCTTCAATAGAGGGAGTAGCCGACCGATCGTAGACTACACAAAATCGCGGCCGGTGCGATCAAGTTTGTTCCACCATATGTCTAGCTCGTCCTTGGGAGCAGAAACAAAGCGATTGTCGTGTCTTCCCATTGTATATAGACCAATACTCATGATCGACCTAATTGTCATGGACCGACCAAAGCTACGGTAAAGTAAGTAAATTGTAAAACAAAAGATAGAAGACTTACTTCAACAATATGACGGTGGCAAACACATAGACATGCACATGAGACGTGAGGCTCGATTTCTATTCTAGAGAGCTTAACAAAGGAGAGCCACAAGAATGATCGGACTAGTCGCGAGGTTGCGAACCAAGTCGGGCCTCACGACTCTGGCCTGGTGAAAGAGTCGACCCGATATTGCAGGGTTATGAGCAGGGTAGTAACTCTTGACACCTAGAAAGAAATCTTGGGGTTGAGATGGACGACTCGTACTATGAGGTTGTGGTCAGAGTCGTATCCATCTCAATACCATCCTAGACAATCCTGTGCGGCCTAGGTTTGGCGGCAGGTTGTGTGTGCTAACGTGTAGTGCTAATGCAATAGAACATGCACAACAGTTTGTAAGCAAACACCGCTTCAATATTTGGTAAAATAAACATTAATTTCTCAACACTTCCTTGCAAGACAAGGGCTAGTAATCACTATTCCCTTTATACCTTCCATTTGCAAGAACATTTAATACCTTAAGGTTAAGGACGTACTTGGAGTCCTTCATGCCAAACAAAAATATTTTTTAAAAAAGAGAAAATTGCCTAAGTCCATTAAGAATTTTTTGAGTCCCCAAGCTGTCGCAACCTCACCTTGGGGTGCACCATCTGGGGTTTGGCTAATGGATTACTAAACCTAAACTTAACTTGGGCTCTTCCAAGCCCATATCATTTGCAACTTAGGTTCAAGTTTTTTAATATGCAAGATCATTTTAATTCGAAGTCGCCACTAAACTATTTTCTGGTGGGTCGATTAGTAACATAAATAAAGTATTGGGATAATTACTTTACTCCAATGAATCAGAGATTATGAATTCAGCGACTTGATTATGCTAGATTATTCTAACACAATTTCGGTACCTTTTCTCTTTTATTTCAAAAAAATACTTTTGCAAGCATCTTGAATAAATTTTAACCTATCCACTAACATATAAGGTGATCATGCAGGTACGCAAATATTATTGAAACACCAATAATCAAAGTAGTAAATAAATTGCGAGGAAAAGGATAAATTACTAACCTCAAAGCAACATAAGCATATGCAATGTTAATTAGAAAAACACATTCAATCTAAATATAGTTTCTATTTAGCACACAATTCCACTCAAATCTTTTTGGGATTTTTGGTTATTTAATGGAAACTAAGTTATATGCAATGTATGAGACTAATGTAACATGACATGCAACATATAATTTACTTAAATGTCTTACTTCTAATGACGATTAAATGGACAATTCTATCATTACATGCAATTATATGACACTAACATAGATCTTTAAATGATACGTGAGCAATAACGTGGCAGGCATGGTGAAGTAGCATAGATGATGCGATCTAAACTATATGACATGCGCATGATATTTTTTTTTGTTTTTTTTAGGAAATTAGAAATTAATAAATGCCCTAATTTAAACATGTAATATAAGAATCTAACCTATTCTACGATAATGTTTTGGTATTTTTTAATTAAATTCGTAAAAATTACTCAAAATTACCTATTGAGATTAAGATATTATCTAGGGTTAAACTATGAAAAACCCCAAATTGGTACACAACCTCAAATTATTTTTTTGATCGAGAAAAAAATCGAATTGATATACCCGTGACAAATTTACCCAAAACTAATTTTTTGGCAAGTAAAAACCCCAAACTGGTACATTTATGACAAATTTATCCTCCGTTAAATTGAATTAATACTACGAAAAATCATAGACCGATACACCTATGACAAACGGAGGGTGAAACCCTAAAAACTAGTACACTCGACAACTGTTACGTATCATCCAATTTAGAAATTTGACGATAAAATTTAACAAAAACTAACAGAGGGAAAAATTATCACAAGTATCAATTTAGGGTTTTTGGTAGTCAAAAAATTAGTTTGGGGTAAATTTGTCATATGTATACCAGTTTGAGGTTTTTCGTGGTATTAACCATATTATCTAATTTAAACTAGAAAATAAACTGTGCTAAATCCTAATTTTAATCAGAAAATTATCCTAATATGATATAATCAATTCCCAGAAATATTTCACCCAAAACTATCTTAACTTAACAAGGAAATCTTAGCTAATATGCATTATAACTTATTTTAATTCTATTTAAAATCTACCCTAATCTATTAAGAAAGATTACCTGGGATTTTCCTAAAACATGCAAGATTATATAAACATCTAACCAAATCTAAATATGAAAATTTTCATATTTTCTTTTATGGAAATAATCAAACAACGGATAAGCACTCGTCGAAAAATATATTCACCCAATATGCAAAAGATAATCATTTCCATCCATTCAAATTTGGGAAATAAATAAACCGACGATCGTACCAAAGGGTTATAGATAGGATGGCTGATTTTCTATGCGAACGGGAATCGTATATTGGGATTGAGATCTAATTACCGTCCATGTGCACGTTGTGGATTAGGAAACTTTCCTAATCTTGGTTATTCTGAAATTCTTAGAGATATGGACATTAAAATAGCGATTCACTCAAAGTAGGCAATAAAATATTCAAACCAAATCATATAGAATTTAACCTATTTTGAAGATCATGTTTTCAAATTTGAATTGCTGGACGGCTCACAATGACGGTGGTATTCACAGTGGCTCGCGGCTTGGTTGAGGAAAAGGCTGTGCGTGGTGGCTTTTCGGGACGCCTTTGCTGACCAGCTTCGCAAGTCCTGCAAAATTAGAGACAAAGTGCAGGAAATCGGTGCAGGGGAAGAGCAATTCATTGTGAACAGGGGATGCTGGTGTGGTGACTTCGCTAGGAGTGTGTTGGGCACAAGCAGCAGCCAGATACTGTCGTGGAGGGAGAAGAACACTAGAAGTGCCAAAACTTGTATACGGTGCTCACTTTAGTGCCAAAAGTTTGTTTCGGTTCACCTAAGTGTCACTTTTTTGAAAAAACGATCACTTAAGTGTTAACTCCGATTTGGGTAGCCGAAAATCTAACGTGGCCATATTTTATTAATTTCTCAGTCTTACGTGGCACGTCGGCGCTGACGAGGACAATATTTAATAATAT